GATCTTCCAAGGTCCCTTTCAGCCCTAATGTCTATGAATCTGTGAATCTGGAAAATATTATTTAAAGGATCTCCAGCCATTTTACCACCACCTATAGGCTAAATAAGGGGAAAACAGAAGCAGAGGAATAACACCACAGCATCACATCAGGGGCGGCTATGAAGTTCCCAGGCAGTGCTGGCTCCTGTTGTGCTGATCCCAGTGGCACAATCAGCTTTCACTCTGGTAATGGATGCTTTTGCACTCCCCCACAAAACTTCTCTCAGTTAGGACCTTGTTACAATTTGTACTTTGAGCTGCTCAAGTGTTGATCAGTGTTAGTGCTAGCTTGAGTTTTGAGCAATCAAACCTTTCAAGCTAAAAACCTTCTCTGACTTCCCTCACCAGCACAGCTGTAACTTGCCACTGCAGGGCTGGTGAGCAGGACCCTGGCTAGGAGCTACAGGGCTGGTGAACCAGGATGGGCATCTATGCCTGCTCTACGTGTGGGAGAGATTGGGAGGAAGGGGGCAGAAACATGAAGTGGAGAGGTGGAAACTTAATGGGATGGGAGTGGGCAACGGGAGTAGGAAAGGAAATGGCAGTGGGGGGAAATGAGTGGTAAAATGAAGTCAGCTAGCCACTGAAGGATAAAATAAAAAGAAGTAAAAAAGAAATAAAAGGGAAGTAAATTAAAGAAGGTTTCATGTTTTAATAAACTGGGATTTGGGATTGGGGTGTGGGGGGTGACGGTTGTGCTTCCTGGTGTGGCTGGGAGGTGGGAGTGGTGAGGGAAGGGGCTTTTGGGGTAGCTATTGTCCCTGCCCTGTGAAGGAAGTCCCAGCTCACAGGGACTTGATCCAGTCCCCTACACGGTCTATCCCCTCACCCTCACAGAGACTATGCTCTTGGACTCACTTGTGGCCTGTGACCTGACTAGCTGAAATGTGCTCTGCACCATTTGCAAGAGGTCACACACCTGGGTGTGGAAAGGTTACACACCTGGGTGCAAGAAGGAGAGTTGGGTTGGTGCCAAAACTGCCCTCTGGGCAGTAGAGTTTTGGGGGTAAAAAGTTTTTCCAAATAGCACGGAAGGGTGGGAGATGGGACACTGCATCCTGGCCTGCTGAAGGGCAGCAACTTAGGCTGCTCACCTGTGGGGAGTGGCCACACATTAATGGAGCATGAACTGGGTAACATGGATTTGCCTGGAGAGCAGATCTGGAGCCCTAGCAAGAGAGGAGGAGGAGCACATTCCACTGGTGGAAGGCCAGGCTTCCCCAAGATCAGGAGGATCAAGACCACTGCTACCAAAAGGAAGCAACGGGTGGTGGTACTTGGAGACTCCCTTCTGTGGGGGGTGGAGGCATCCAGCTGTTGGCCTGACCTGTTGTCTCAGGAGGTCTACTGCTTGTCCAGACCCTGAATCTGAGATGTCACAGAAGGATTACTGAGACTCATCCAGCTCTCTGACTACTACCCCATGCTGCTTGTGGGCACCAAAGATACCTCAGGAAGGACAGGCAGGGGTGACCATGAGCAGATCAAAAGTGACTACAGGGCTCAGGGTTTTGGTTTCTTCAACCATGGGATGTTGTTCCAAAAAGGATTGCTAGGAAGAGATGGGATCCACCTGACAAAGAAAGGCATCTTTGCAGACAGGGTCACTAAGCTAGTAAGGAAAGCTTAAACTAGGTTTGCTGGAGGATGGAGACCAAAGCTCTGAAGTAAGTGGGAAAGCGGGTGACCTGGAGGAAGCGCAAGCAAGAGGGGTCAACAGGGGAAGCTTTCTCAGTCTTCCTCAGAAAGTAGGGCAATCACCTAGATACCTCAGATGCCTGTACACAAATGCACAGAGCCGGGAAAACAAACAGGAAGAACTGGAAGTCCTTGCACAATCCCAGAACTATGACATGATTGGAATAACAGAGACTTCGTGGGAGCTCGTGTGATTGGAGTACTGTAACGGATGGGTATAAACTGTTCAGGAAGGACAGGCAGGGGAGAGGAGGAGTTGTGCTTGATGTAAAAGAGCCGTATGGCTGTTCAGAGCTCCAGTACAAAACGATATAGGTCTGCTGAAAGTTTTTGGATTAGGATCAGAGCAATAAGTGTGACATCATGGTGTGTGTTTGCTATGGACCATCAGACCTGGAGGATGAGGCTTTCTTCAATTAGTGAAGGTTACCAGATCACAAGCCTTGGGTTCTCATGGCAGACTTCAATCACCCTGACATCTGCTGGGAGGGCAATACAGCAGTGCACAGGCAATCCGGGAAGTTTTTGGAGACTGTTAGGGACAACGTCCTGATGCAAGTGTTTGAAAGGTCATCTACGGGCCATGCTATTCTCGATGTGCCGCTCATAAACAGGGAAGAATTTGTAGGGAATGTGGAAATGAACGGCAACTTGAGCAGCAGCAACCATGACATGACTGAGTTCAGGATTGTTTGGGAAGAAAGGAAGGAGAGCAGCAGAGTAAGGACCTTAGAGTAGATTTCAGAAAAGCAGACTTCATCTCACTCAGGGAACTGATGGGCATGATCCCCTCAGAGGCCAGTCTGAGAGTAAAAAGGAGTCCAGGAGAGCTGGCTGTACTTTAAAGAAACCTTACTGAAAGTGCCGGAACAAACCATGCAGATGTTCAGGAAGACTAGCAAGTATGGCAGAAAACAAGTCTGGCTTAGCAGGGAACTCTTCAATGAGCTAAAACACAAAAAGGAAGCTTACAAGAAGTGGAAACTTGGACAAACTACTAAGGATGAGTAAAAGAGTATTGCTTGGGCATGCTGGGATGAAATCAGGAAGGCCAAAGAGCAACCGGAATTGCAGCTAGCAAGGGAGGTGAGGGGTAACAAGAAAAGTTTTTACAAGAATTACAAGTTTTACAAGCTGGAGGCAGCTGTATCGGAAAGAGGATCGGTATCAGCCAATATGCCTCCTTAAATATAAGCTTTCAGTATCAGCCCCCGAAATCTCTATTGGTGCACCCCTAGTTCTTTTACAAATAACAGCTTCCTTCTTTCAATGTTCTTAAAAGGGCAACCATATCCTTCATTCACTCAAGAAGGCATGTGGAGCAACATAGGCCATGGAATACAAGTTCCATAAAGACCAAAGGTGATCTCGTATATTATCTTTGGGTGTTGCAGCACTGAAATAAATGCACAGTGAGGGTGGAGGACCTCCCCAAGTGGAGCTCTCACGTCCTAAACTTGAAAAGGGGCACGATTTAACAATCCAAGGAATTTAACAATCCAAGAAAAGGTAAAAGCCTTAAAATCAGGGTGTTGCTGGTGTTTCTGGGGAGTATCTAGCACACAGGCCACAAGTGGCATCTGCATTCGCTGTCTGTAGCATGCATCAGATGAGGGAGCAGACAGTGGTAGATAGGGCAGGGAGCACAAAGCAGAGTGGCAGATTAGGCAGAGAAAGGGGATGAGAGTGGCCCTCAGGGGCACTAATTAGCAGTGCCATCCACAGTTTAATGTGCAGCATGTGCAGTTTGTGGCACAGCAAAGATGTCTGTGGTGTCACAAACCACATGTGCCTGCACGTCTGGATCTAGCCAGGGAGGGTATAGGGCTAATTTGTGGCATGCCTGCAGAAAAACTTGGCCCCACTTATCTAAGTATCAACCAGATCCATAGTAGTACTGGAAATCAATCTGTTCATGTGCCAGTAGATTACGCATTGATATGGGTTTCTTGTAAGAACTGAAGTTGAAAGGATTTGTTTCCCAGTGCTCAATTAGGGTCACCAGGCAAATATGGGTACTGGCATAAACAGTAAAATACATCTCTCTCTCAGAACTGAGAGACCTGTGTGTGTTGACCCTTAGGTTTTAGAAGTCCATCAGCTATCATGTAAGCCTGGATCTGAAGCACTCTGTAATGCAAGCCTTGTTTTGGAAGATCAATGTTTCCAGTGGCACTTACTCTGAGTGCTGAAAATACATCTTTCTCTTAGGAAAGAGAAGAAGAGGGCATTTAATATTCACAGTATTCGTAAGTCTATAGTTTTGAGGATCTTTCTCTTCCCCAGCTTTTGGATTTGAGGAAGACCATCTATGTAGAGAGATACAAAAGTACTATGTGATCAGACTTTCACTCTCTTGCAATGCCTGCTGTGACACCCTAACCAGATATATGATTGTCAGCAATTCCATAATTAATGACCCATGTCAAGACAAGTTAGATATTATATGTTCCAACTGGTGACTCACATCTTCTGAAAGATAAAATGTTTCATTTGAATCCAGACTTCTTAGATCTGCTATTTTTTAACAGTCTATAAACACAAAAACCTTAAAATACCTCAAACATTTTAAAATAAATGTATAATTTTATTATCAGTGTAATGGGCTAAAACTTAGGAAAAGTGGAAAATCAGTACCAGTTACAAACCAGTGAGTGGGGAAGGGATTAAGGGTTCAACAATCTCCTGTGCAGGTACAATGAGAGTTAATTCCTTTTGTGATAGTTGAACCCATGGATTAAACACACATGCACTCCCATGTTAAGGCACTGTCTTTGATTCAAAAAATACATAGAAGAAAGTGTTCATTACATCAGTAGCACTAATGGTGGAATGACACAAAGATGGAAAAATGTATTAGTTTGAAACAGAAATTGTAAATACAAAATGTATTTTTGCTCTATCATGTAAAATAGCATGGTAGTGCATACAACATAATAAGCGTTTCAGTTTCTGTTACAGTGGAATTGTGACAAAGGAATGCTTATAGATTTAGAAAATGTGTTAATGTGGTGCATATTTTGGTACACTAATTAAAAACTATTTCAAAATGAAGGAGAACCTAAAAATACATACTTTTTCAAACATGTAATATAATTTGTGACACTGGCAGTAAGAAGCTCAATCAGATAAGCTGGTTAGCTTTTTTTCCCCTTTCCCAGAGCAAGGCTTGTTGGAAAAGAAACAAGAAAACGAGATCAAGATCCCTGAACAAATAATAATTAATTTGTGAGTGCTACAGGCCAGACTGCAGAATACATTATATATTAAGTAGGTGAGCACTGCCTTATCCAGAAAGATCTGTCACAAAGGTTTTCTGAATATTGCCCCATGCCACTCTACACTTACCTTAAAGAAGTGGGCAACAACTACTTAAATGTAATAGTGGTTTATACAGCAAAGGGAAATTGCCTAACTGTGTAATGAGGACACGATGCACAAGATAAAAGGCTAACCTAACTCGCTTTCTCTGTGCAGAATATCAAGTATAAAATGATAATGCTCTGCTGCTCCCTGCTCCTCTCCCACCCCCTGTAACCAAAATAGGTAGTAAAGTGAGAGAAAAAACGCGAACGAAAATATTTTAGAAATAGTCTTTAATTCCTGGTTTTTAAATCCTAAAACTTTATAGCTATTTAGATTTAGATGTGAGAATAAGAGACACTTAGCATGTATAAGACAGAGGCCTTGTAGGAAACATTCAGTGTTTCCTAAGAGAGCCATCACTTTTGTAAGAGAAACCATGGGTGTGCACATGTTCAGGCTTTTTCTCCCAGAGTAAAAATGGCTGCTTCAGGAGAAAAATAACTGGGAACAGACTAAGGAAGTCTGGAACATGCCCTCCCCCCTTACCTCCATGCTCAGCTGCAAGCTCTCCACTCTTCAGGGCCTCAGCTTACAAATATCTGTACATGCAGCTCTGGGTAAATTTCTTTTCGCAGACAACAAACTTAGTATAATTCTCTCCTATTATTTGAATGGGTGTATGCAACCAGGTCTGAGTTTAGATTAACTCCTTAAGCCCCATAGCATTTTAGGAATAACAGACATTGTCAGTGCGTGCTTCAGCCTGACAAGTATTCAGACTTATTATCTTCTCCAAGTTTCATGGTTTTTATTAATTTTAGATTTCTGAGAATATTGGACAGCATAGCTAATTTTTATGAAAGCCTAGTATGCAACTTCAGTTTTTAATTTTATTACCTAGAAAAGATATTTACATTATAGGCTCAAATATTAATATCATCAAGATCATTTTCATTGATAAAGCAAATCTATCTGGATTTGCAAGGGAATAGAGGAAAAGATAAATCAGAGCATAGTGTGTATGACAATGGAGAGCTAGCTTTCTAATATAACTTAGTTAGTTTTGCAATATTGATTTTAATTGCTAAGTACATTATTTTGCCTGGACAAAAAATGCCTTAGCAAGTGGGACGATTTTGTATAAGCAGGAGTCATATGCTGAGAGACAACACATGATGAAAATAACTGTTAATAAAATCAGAACAGAACTGAAATAACAAAAGCAGAGAACCAGGCAAATAAAACTGAATTTGTTTGAGATAATTAGCAACGAAGATATGACCTGGCAGAAGAAGTAAGGTAACTTTGCTTTAGCTGGATTGCAAAAATGGAATGGGTAGCTTTACAAAAAAACAGATGGGGAAAATAATTGGTTAAAAGACAGGATTCAGGAATGACAAATAGCTAACAATCATTTAATTTCAGAGTGTGCGCCAAATTTAAAAATAGACATTGCATGACTTTCCCCATCTACCATGAGAGGTTTACTTCTTTTACCAGGCATAAAAAGAAATATAGATAGGGGCTTACTTAATTCATGATTTTGCGGAAATCACAAAATTGGGCACTGTCCATGAAATCAGGCAATGTCTGCAAAATCCACAAAAAAACCTTACTAAAAATAAAATGCTGGCTCCTAGTGGGAGCCAGTGGTCCTCATGGCCACTACAGCCTGGTTGTGCAGCAATTTTCTTTATATTAGAAGAAAAATATTCTCTTGCCTTTAGAAGCTGATAATTCTTCTATCAAAATAAATTTCCCAAGCCAATCTTATAAAATGTTGAAAACTTTTATCCAACTTTAAAACAAAATAATATGCAATATAATACTTCATATAAAAGGATGCAAGTGAATTAGGGGAAAAGTTAAGTAGATGTACATTACTTTTTTGAAACAAAAGCAAAATAGCCATTGAGATTAATGAGAACTAGAGAACTCTAGACTGCTGGTACAGAACATAAACATTTTATTCTTTTTATATATATTTATACCTCATACAAACATCATGATTAGAAATCATGTAAATGATTCATATAAGAAAACATCTTACCTTCCATCTCTATCCCAATCATACACCTCTATCTTAATTGTTCTGTCAAAAAAATCACATATGAAAACACACCTTATTAAAACATCTGCTTACACAAAAAGAAAATATACTTAAGATTTGAAAAACATGTTGCAAGTTTTTATAACTTTGTGCTTTGGAAGGTCAGACACCTTAGCAGTCTGTTTTACGAAGAATGAATACTTCCTTGTGAAATATTTCATTAGATTCCCGGGCTCGACCTAAAAACATGAGCCTCTTCAACACAAGCTACATCAGCCATGATTAAGTTTATTATAGTACAACACATTTTAATTTAACAACTGTTGATTCAAATAAAGGCAACTTACTGAACTGTCATTAAAAGACGAAGTTTTACTTTTTACACTTGATTAAGGGAAAGAGAGCAGTGCCAAAGTCCAAAACACAAATCATACCAAATTACAGAATTTAGGAATTCTTAATACCACATTTCTCAGAGTAACACTACAAACAGTTAATGGAAGCTTGCTTCATAGTTCTGAGCTTGAATCTGTATGATTTAATATCTCTACTAATCATCTGAAAACGGGCATGGATGGTGATGTAACTAAGCTTACCAAAAACAAAATTATTTAGGACTTTAAATTAGAGAAAAAACCATCAAAAGGATCTAAGGAAGTCATGGTGGACTGAATTCAGTGTTGACAAATGCAAGATAATACATACTAGAAGCAATCAGGTACTACCCATTACACATTTCGTATTCCTTAAATTAATGTAACTACTCAGGAAGATCTGGATATCACTGTAGACAACCCAAAGCAAAATCCTGGCTAAATATGGTGAATATCTGATATCTATCACCTCAGAGGTGGAAGAGCTTTATGTACTTATGTACTTATGCCAAAAGCAAAGAAAGAAAACACTGTCCCTTTTTTTTTAGACTTGTACCTCTCCCCTTTTTCTATTTTGGCTCCCCATGCACTAAAAGAGGGTGGCTATTTTTTTTGACAAAGAACAGAAGAATATAAAATAATCCTATTGGCTTTTCGCCCCTTCAAGGGAGCGGGGGATGGGGGGAGGGTTACTTACACCATCCCTAGTCACAATTAGGAGTTGTTTCCTAAAACAACTGAAGAATAGGAGTCTGGAGTCCATAGTTTCAGGGAGAAAAACCCCCCTCTTTCCTTGTACCCTCAAACCTCAGGATACCAGGATCAGAGCTGGGAACAGAATAACCAGGCTAATAGTGTGGGGAGCAGTGGATTGCTAATGATATATGCTCTGAGTTTAGAACTTTCATTTTCCTAGCATATTTTGTCTCATTCACTTATTTGTAAAGCATGTTTGTTGCCTCTTTTACTTCTCTTAACTAAGGAACTGTGTTAAAATATAAGCAAATGATGCAGATGTAGGTTTAATTGAATCAATTTCTTTAATTTTACTCTTTCTTTTTTAACTAATTTTACTCCTTCTAAAATGAAAATAGCCCAACTAAAATTTAAGAACTAGCATTGCTCTTACTTAAAAAGTTTTCTGTGCAGAGATTGTTATCTTACCTGTCATAGTCTCCATTACAGAGTGCTCTGACAGAGATCTTGAATGCCTGCCATACTGGATTTAGTGTATTTTTTATAACTTCTGTCTTGTGACAAATTGTAAAACTAAAAACAAAACAAAACCCCCAAAACTTGTTATTAAACATAGAGTAAAAGTTCTGTAGAAGTATTCAACGTTCAAATAAAGTATTCTCATCATCATTCTAGTTCAGTTAAAAGGATTTCATTTTTAAGACTCTATAACCACATAAAGAATGAATTGCAGTGACCTATGGGGCTAGGGAAATTTTGCCTAACTACAAAAGTGAACTTTAGAATTCATGAACTTTCATTTGAGTTAATTCATGATTTCCATGTTTATCCAACCGACCCACTGTTAAAATAAAGAGCAAAGCTCAAGCATGGTAGGGGAATGTTCTCAGTATGCTTTGATTGCTTGCAGAGGGTACAATTGAGAGAGTTAATTTTTTTTCTAGATTTGTATTGTCCTACTTGCTAGAAATCCCCTTCACCACATAACTAACCTAAAAGATTTATATGGAACCATTACTCTGACCCAGATCATTTTTCTGAATCACGTGTTTTTCCAAATTCAGAAAAATTTTAAATTGAACAGGCCAAGGGAACTACAAGGAAACACAATATTTAGAATGTCAGGCTGCTTATAAGTTATAGCAAAGGCAACTGACTTCAAATCTTGTTTAGTCACACACACGGCATCATTTGATCATTCCTTTTAGGACATCTCTGCCATAATTTGCTTGGAAATGGAATTATAGGTAACTATGATATGTATTGGGATCAAATAAATTTAGGTAGAATTGGCAACTACTGTAACCCCCAAGAACTGGAATAACATTAAGAACTCTTGACTGTTTTGCAGATTGCGCGTGTAGATAGCATGTAGAAACCAACAAAGAACCATGAACCTTAGTCCTCCTCTCAGGAAAGGATTTCCATACTACATATGTGAAAACCAATACTGCATCCAATGGGGGCTGAATCAGGGCAGCAATCCCATGTGCCAGCCAAGGGGATGGGATGCAAAAATAGCACTTGCTGGCCAGCTGCAGCTGCCCAGGGTACAGAACTGTCCTGTTACACCTCTGGTGAAAGTATTTACTTCTTAACCAAGAAAGGCAAAAAAACCTAAACAACAGCTGCGGCACACGGTCCTATCACCATAGTTTTACCCGTTTTCATCCTCTCATTCCACTGTTCTGTTTGTATACTGGCCCCTGGCACATTACATTTATTTCAATAGTAGTAGTGCCACACGTTCATCCAATTTTAGTATTCTAAAGTGGTAAATCAGCCACAAATTTATTCTACAAAAAATATGGAACATCTTCATGGCTGGTTTGTATAGTGCCATGAACTAAATATGTGGCTTGTTTCTATCCTAATGCCAATAATCAGCTGACTGTCAGCATCTACACTGGGATTGGGGTTAGCATCAGGACTAGGACAACCTGGTCCCAGTGCCAAAAACGGGCTGCCGGGTGAGCAGATTCCAAAGCTGCCCATGGCAGTCTTTCCTGCCTTGTCATTCAGCCCCTGTGGAGGCTACAGAGTCAGGTCCTTTAAAAAGCCAGGTCCCTGTAAATGCTGAAGCTTCCTGCAACCCAGCACACTGCCTACCTTATCCCATAGCTCCCAGGGAAGGATGGAGCAGTCAACTTCCTGAGTTGGCTTCCCTTCGCCTTGTGCAAATACTGCATGGGATGAGGATGGGAGACAAATAAGTTTCTCTCCATGCAGCAAGTTAAAAGCCAAGCCTGCAGGCTGGGCTGCACATGTGGATTTTAACAGTCCACATGCTTGGTGCCCAGGATCAGAGGCCCAGGATATCTGAAAACAGGCTGCACACAAGGTGTTTTTGTTTTGTTTTTTTTTATTTTTTAAGGTATCCTGGCACACCAGGACTTTTAAACACCTCATGTTCAGCCCAGCTACATGCATGGTTTTTAGACATCCTTATTAAATGAACATCTGCCAGAGCCCTGGAAAAATTCTAACAGAGATTGTGTAATCTTACTTGTCCAAGGCAGCTTCCTGTTGATATGTATGTACAAGAATAGAGCTTATAACTACAGATATCCATCGATGTTAAGCTTTGGGCAACTCTGTTGACATTGCTTAAGAGTGAGAAACTATCATCAATATCCCCTTAGGGTCTATTATGCATCAATTACTACAATGAGCTTACATAAAAGTAATATTTAAAAAATGCATAACACCAATGCTCCTGATAAATACTGGTTTCAATATAAAGATGTTTCAGAATAAAAATACTTTTATATGTATAAAAATGATTTATTTTTGTGCTATGCTAAATTATAATATGGAATCTTCATAAAATAAACTATTTATAAAATTGTCTAAATAGCTTAAACCAGGGGTGTAGAAATCACCTGGCCCTATGGGCCAGATCAACAGTGTGGGGTGGGTCTGTACCATTATGCCTAAATCATCCCAGACCAATTCCTGTCCAACCCATTCCTCATCACCTCCACAGCTTCCTTAGGCAGTCTACCATGCACTTGTATAGAAAAGGATGAGTAGTTTCCAAAAGAAATACGTAACAGGTTAACTGCTAGTAGACGCATATAAAAGGAGCTTATAAAGACACAGAACAGAAATTAATGTATTGTAACAAACTTAGATCATAAAATGTAGGATATGAGCACATCTGAAAAATATTTATATACTGACGTTCTGAAAATCTGTTCATGTGTTCTCTTTCATCTGGGCAGAGTAAAAAGGTAAAATATATCTTTGTGGTGTGAAGAAGTTATTTAAATAATTTTTGTGCATTAGTATGTTATTCAGATGTTTTTCTTCTATAAACTAATTGTGTTCAAATATGCTATATTATATATTTTCTATAGTAACAAATTCCATGTTATTCAGTGTTTTCATAGAGCTTTATATACAGTCATTTAGATTTTAGATTCCCTAGTTACAGAATTAATTTCCATTAAAATAGCAGCCTTATTCCTACACAGTTATGGCATAATCAATTGGAGGAAAATTTGCTTAGAATCTCATTTATTTAAACAGCTCAGTGATATAGGGTTATGAAATGACACGCAACTTAGTATTTTGACAAGTATCAGAAAAATGCAAAAAATATATCTAACAGCACACAGAAAGAACTAAAAACATTGTCTATTGTACAGCAACAGCAAAAGTATAAAGTTATCTACCTGCCATCTTCATTGCTTCTGTAAAATACTAGGAATGGATCAGATTTTCCAAAGAAGTCCTTCTTGTCTAATTTGTTTGCACAAAATTGCATCAGTACAGAATCCTGAAAGAAACCGTGGATAATACAGAAACTAATGCATAAATTACATCCACCATGACATCTGCAAAAATTAAACAACCAAAACAAGTATTCAAACACCAAAAAAAAAAAAGTGATGAATATTAATCTTCGAGATGATTTCTGCATGTTCACATTATTGGCATATGCAGACAGCAGAACTGGTGAAACCTTTAACACATACTCAGAACCACAGTGATTCCACATACTTGGAAGGACCTTTCAGTGTCTTCAGGTCCAAAATTGGTATGAGGATTCAAAGAAGGGGATGCAGGGCACGTGAATGTGCACAGTTCACCTCAAAAAACTTTGGTTACAACTTTATTTCAACACCAAGTGGTCTTGTACATTCAACCTGTGACAGCTCAATAAAGCACTACTTCTGTCTCTGCATGATGGGACTGTCTACCTATTAGATAAACAAAAATTGCAGTAATGCCTTATCAAACTGTGCGCGTCTGACTTAAATGCCAGATACAAAAAAGAATGTGAAAGTATAGAAAACAGCTTCAAGTGGGAAGTCTACAGGTTTCTAATTTGGTAATCAGAGTCTTAACTGACAAATTCTGAATCCTGAAGCAGTGGCGGTGCATAGTGCAAGCACACTGTTGGGGGAGGTATCGCTTCCATCTTTTGCTACCAACCAATGCCAAAAGGCCATTTAAAAACTGTTTTTTGGAAGCAAAAAAGGAAGTCATGACACCTCTCCACCACAGCACCACTCCTGCTAGCTGCTGTCTCTGTACCATATGCCACTGCCAGCCAAGTGCCAGCAACCCTGTTGCTTCTGCTCTGCCCTCCCCACTTCCAAAGCTGGAGGTACTGCATGGAAGTTGTAGGGTGGTGAGGTGGGGAGGAAGACAGTAAAATGAGCCCCACCCCTTCTCCCCCAGCTCCATTCTGCCTTGCTGCCCATCCTTCCCTCTTTAGGCAGCACCCGGAGCTTATCCCCTCTCACGCATCCACTGTTACACTACTGATGATGACGTGCAAATCAGACCGCAGACTGCTACAAACACGTTTGCAGTCCAACATACTGCACAGACTGCAGTTCTGTGCTGCAAGGGCACACTACCCAAGTGTGCGCTGTTCCATTTTTTTTCCTGTGTTTTTTTTTACCCCTGGATAGCCAGGGATCAAAAAAACCCAAAGCAGCACATGCTCAGGCAGCATGCACCCCTAAACAGCAGAGCTGGATCACTCGGAGCTGCACTGCAGCTGCCAGACAGGCTCTGCCTGGCAGGATCGTAGTGGCTCCAGCTCCAGGAGGCCCCCAGGACCCCAGGTAAGGCTATTAGGGCCCTAAGTGAAAGAGGCTGTTTCCACCTAATAATTCTTGTTTATAAGTAACTCATGATATTCTGAACATTATTTACTACGTTTTTACTATGTTTTATATTATTGCAATGTTTTCTGCATTAGGCAGTCAACTGAGAACCATTAACATCTACTTATGTAGATATTTTAATAATTGTAATGTAATAATTTGTAATGTAATGTAACATGCAATAATTTACATGAAATAGCCCGAAGTTCAACTGTCTGTAACACTTTATGAAAAGTACTGTGTTTCAAAACTACAAAGTTCTAGTCCTAGCCCTAGCCTGTGCTTCAGGAAATTGTTAAATTAAGGTGCAAGAGAAATGAAAACATAATACATTGTGCATAATTTAAACTCAGTATTCCCTGTCCATTACAGAAGCGGAGATGACCTAGTATGAAAAGCATTTGACTGCAGCTCCTCCTCTGAGGACATTAGAATGAATGTATCAAGAACGCACAAGAAACAAGAATCCACCTCTAGGTAGTGCTAATTGCATACAAATTCTCACTACATTCAGTATAATGTGCCTTGTCAGCAAAAATTGTAGGCACCTCCTCTTCAGATATAGTAACCTGGATTTGGGCCAGTTCTCCCTGTTTTTTGGCAATGACTGAGTAAACAATACAGGATCCTTGCACAGATATCAGTGCACTGTCACTCACTAATACCTAGAATGGAAGAACACAGTAACTACCTAGAGACTCTAGGAAGCTAGACACTCAATCAGAAAGAGCAAAGTGAATTGGAATCATGTCTTGGTTACTACGTAAACTGTTCCAGCCCCTTAGGGCTCTGAAGTTCCATTTTCTGGGATGCATTCATTTTACTTCTCTTGGTCTGAATATCTCACGTAAAACCTCCCTATAAATTAAAGGGATAAGGTAGACTGGGTTTAGCAACTGCAAATCCCCTTTCCCCTAGAAACATGTAAAACAATTCATCTGAGGGGGCATGGAAACAATTTCTTTAAAACAAAATGTTAATCTTTTGCTCAAGGGTGATAGATTAAAAAATCTGGTTGATTTACTATGCTTGGGAGAAACTGAGGTGATTGGCTCAGAGGGGAAGAACACCAATTTTTAAAAATATATATGTAAATATAAATATAAATATAATAGCCCTATTTTCTGAATGGTATCAATAGAGGCAGGATGCACAAGAGCACTTCCAGTGGGCACTGCTATCCAAAAGGTTCCACCAGTCTGCACTTCATGCATCAAGAGTATAAATGTGTAGGAGACACCTGAGAAAGAAAAAACCTGCGACAGCCACTAGATTTGGAATCTGATGGGCACCCAAAAGCAATGCAAACTTTGTATAATACTTTAGACCTATCTGCATTTTAAAGTAGCTCGTCCTACAGAGAGGCAAACAAGTTCTAGTAAGGCAGAAGCTTTACGATTTCATTTTAAGGTCCATTTTGAATAACCAACTATTGGACTCTTTTAGCCCATTACAACTTTCAGATGAACAAAAAAACTGACAAGCTTTAATTTCATTGTGCAGGATCAGGTTCTTCATCTCAGGGGAGATCCTAAACAGGCCATTAAAGTATGTTAGGCTGTCAGGTGGTCAAAATTTACTGCCAGATCATCACCTTAGCTAAACTAATGGAAATGTCATTATTCTTTAAGTCAAGAAGATAATTTAGTATTTCTGGAATGGTAGACCTGGCCTGGTTATTATTTCTTGCCTGCTTCCAGGACTAGAACCCAGACCACTTCAAGTATGGTACATATACCTCTTCAAGTCCTACCTACAATAGATAAGGATATCTCTGACTTGGGTGGAATATTCTTGTTCTGCCTGAGAGATTCAGTCAGCATTCAGACTGTGAAATTGAGGAACTGGCGATTTCCTGCCTTTAACAAATTTGGGATTAGCAGCAATAATCTGCTCTTTCAGCATATGTTCTTCAGGGTCACATCAGTTGAGTAGCTAAACAACAGCTCAGTTCCCTTAAATGGGAGAACTTCCACTGTAACTTTGACCTGCATAGGAAAACCTAACCCCTGCAATCATGATGATCAGCACACAGCCACTGGTGATACCATGGATCTGGCAGTCACACTGGCAGTGCAGGCTGTAGGACTGTATTGATCACCACCTGCCCTTCTGAGATTATGGACATTGGGTCTTCCTTCTGTCCTACACAACGGCATCCACCAGGTTTTTAGACCTGACTACTTTAGTTTGTACTCCATATTTAGATAATTTGGCATCTACCCCTCTTTTGGAGTGATCCCTCTCTGATGAACTAGAAACTAATATACTTTATTAACAATCATTTTTCCTTATTTTTTTCCACAGAATAAAAATAGACAAATTTTGAATTAAAAAAATCTTTTGACAAATTAACCTTATTTGCTGCTCTCCATGCAATTCCAAAGTACCATAACTTGTAAAGTTAAATCAGTGGTGGCTAAGCATGCCACAAATTATCCAAATATGAGATTGTGCTACTTTCGTAATCACCTATCACAGTCACCCAATGCTGCTGACTGATGTCACAACCGGGATGGCAACATAACCCGGCAGTGCCAGCCCTGTAGCTCTTATGGGGTCAAACCTCTGAGCCAGCAATGATCCCTGATCCATTGTGTAGCAAACACAAGGTTGGTCACCAGCAACTTAAACAGTGCTAAAATTTTGGAAGTATGAGACGAAGATGCAATTCACTGATTTATTGAGGGGAACTGTAAAAGGAGCCTTAAAAGCAAGCCACGAATTTTTTGTGCTCCAAACTGCCCTTTGCTTTTTTCTTTTGGGTTAACATTGATACAAAAAATAAAAGACAACAAAGCAACAAATATTGAATTGTTTTATAATTTCCTACACTTAATTATGCTCCTATTTCTTTTGCCCTGTATACAGGCAAGTTCTTACAAAGTTGGTGTATGGATCAGGATGGCAGCAAAGAAATATTTGTTTTAAACAAACAATATATAAATTCACTTACCCTGCAGCAGCCCAGTTCCTCTGCGGTCAGGATGATGGTTCCACATTTCTTCCCTGGAATTCCTCTGCAACAAAAAATGAATATGCACTTTAGAAGGATTTCATATAATTTAGCAAAAGATGGATAATGATAAATCAAACTTCTCAAGGCAGCAGCCAGAATTCCATGGCTAAAATGTTCAATGTCTTATCACAATGAAAGATCAATGACTAGAATTACACATAAAGCACGAGGTCAGGGGTTCCCAAAGTTTTTATGCTACAGCCTGGCAAACAGCAGCCCAGAAGTGGCCTCGGCGCAGCAAACTGCGGCCCAGAAGTCACAGCTGACAGCGGCCAGAATTTCCAGCCAGCAGACAGGTAAGGATACCCCCACGCGTACCCCCCCGGGTGGGGGGGTGGGGGGGCCAAACCCTACGCTGCCGCGGACCCTGGAGGAGGAGCCGCAGCCTCTCCGCCAGGCTCCAGTCTAGCAGTCAACCATGCTGCAGACCTGCAGACCAGCACCTGGCCCGCTGCGGCCCACCACTGGGCCGCGGCCCAGGGATTGAGAACCCCTGCACGAGGTCAAGATCCTCTAAGAGAAAGGACACTGCTAACTCAGGCTGAGCTTTCAAATATGTCACAGCTGACTGGACTGCTAAACAATGTCTTGATCTTACAGGGTTTCTCTTGTTGTTTAAATTGTATAATGGAAATCTTGCAATAGAAAGGTTTAGTTTTTCTTCCATCGGCCCTGTGCAAGGACTGGAGTAAAAAAAATGAAGTATAAGCTTCAAAGAAAGTGGAGAAGTATTTTGGCAATGATAGCAAATTTACTTAGGCTCCTTTTAATTAGTTTATAAACATTAGTTTAAACATATAAATTAGGAAAGAAATAGCAAAAATCTTCTGATAGGATGGGATTGACCATTTCAATCATTCCACATCTTACCCTAAACAAAGAGAAACAGTGAAAAGTTACCGTTCAGAATTCTGAAAAGCTCTACTGTTTTATCACAAATTTGGACAAAACTTCAAAAGCCATCCAAAAGATGGTAACATTTTTATTTAGAGAGCTCATGTACTCTGGAGTTGCATAAAATTTCTAGCATCATGTTTTATACAATAGCTATATAAGTAAAAATTACTTTTAATACACATAATCCATGAATTTAATGAGATTATACATTGTTTTACAGAATGTGAAAGTACACAACAGATTCCTGGCATAGATGAATAACAGAAAGATGTGTTGAACTATATCATTCTGTCTAATCCAGTCAGTGATACATTTATGCTGGAAAGCATAAGCCTGTACATCTCTAATAATGGGAAAACATATATGGAAGCAGCTGAATATTATTTTTACTTTCACCTACTTTTTTCTTTTGGTCTAAAATTATCTAGCTTTGAATTTTCTAAGAACGTTCCACGGTCTCTGTAAAAGATCAGGAAAACCATTGGTATCAATGGTTTGTGTAAAAAAAAAAAAAATCAACAATTTGTAAAGAGGACAGTTATTTCTTTTCAAAAAACTTTTTAAGTATACCTGGATTCAATTTAGCAGCACCCTACCACAATGTTTCCAACCAGGAAAATATGTGCACAGAAATGAACAGATATAAAAAAAGATATTAAAAAACAATTAAGAGGGCCCCAGAGTTATAAATAAGGCACCTGAAGTTTGAATTCCTCCATGAACAAAACAAGTGGAGTATATTCTGTAAGTGATGGGTATGGGAAGATACAGCACAAGATACCTGCTTCCTCTGAAGACATTGCTCCTAATCTCCCAAAAGCACAGGCACTGGAGCACTCAAGGAGAGAATGGCAAATCTTTTCTCTAGGTTGCATATAGTTTCATGGTTGGTAGGGTCGGAAGGGACCTGAGCAGATCATCAAGTCCGACCCCCTGCCATGGCAGGAAAGAGTACTGGGGTCAAACATCTAGCCTCCTCTTAAAGACCCCCAGGGTAGGAGCCAGCACCACTTCTCTTGGAAG